TTGCTTCAACCAGTATACGTTCTCAAACCACTATCAGATATAGCAGCTCAGTTTGCAAGTCTAAGTATTAGTGTAGGACAATAGTGTGTGTAAGTCCTAGTACCAGTTGACAAGTTGAACTCCTGATCCTCAGTCGTCAGGTCCCTTAACAGGTCCCTCATATATAAATACCAGAGCAATACAGCATAGAGAGGACAGATTGATTATATCATCTGCTCTTTGTCTACTTACCCCTCTCTACTCTGAGCTCACCAGCTCCTGTAGCAACAAGTCCCTCAGCTTTACTGTCTATACAACTACCAGCACCAATAGTAAGTGTTGGGGTTAGGGTTTTGTCTGGAGTCAAGTATTAGGGTGATACAGCAGTGGGCAACCAAGTGCCTGTAAGGATGGGCCCATCTGGTAGTGTAAGACAACAAAGTGTTTACATAGATGAGCACATCTGGCAGGGCAATCAAGCCTTTACAGAGATGAGCCCATCCAGTAGTGGTGGGCAACCCAGTGCCCACAAGGATGGACTTATCTGGCAGAACCACAATATACACAGGGTGGGTCCACCTGGTAGATTTGGATGTATTTAGGTGGATGGGCCAATGTCAGATGAGCTGAGAAGTTTGAGTAACTGTCAGGGTATCTTGGCCAGGACTACCATGAGTCAACACTGAATGGGCTCACTCAGGTGGCTGAATATAATTAGCCACATACACCTGATTTTCTGAAAGTCAATGGTCACAGAAATTGTAAGGTAGATATTTGTTTCTAAGATTATATTGTAAGGTAATTCTAGGTCTTCTTTTCTGCATTTTGCTGATGGGTCTGACATAAAGACATGGATCTGCAATCTCTCTAGCCTGTGACCAATTGTTTCTCAAATGATGTGTTGTCCTGAAGTGTTAGACATTTGACATGTATGGATACTCTTCAAACAGGTCTATTACCTGCTCAGGCAAACCTACAGCATGCCTTTCGATATTACATCCCACTCTCTCCTGATAGTCCGCTCGTGTTCAGCAGATCGTGGTGCGATTTGCAAAGGAAAATTAATAGGCTTCCTATACATCATATGTCTAGCATATTAATATATTGGATAGGTTCATCACGTACGAGGTCATGCCGGAAGTACAGTTGTCCGGGTCGACAGTAAGCGGGTTTCCTGCTTCATCGTACTCGGGTCCGATGTTAAACCCCCACAGAAGGCGCACTAGCCCGATCCAAATAGTCTTCGCGCCGAGATACTGACCAGGACATTTTCTTGATGCGTATAGTTAGCCTTTGTTTACCTGCTACTCCGACGCTATTATGGCTCACCTGCGGCCGAACCCAAACCCGTAGTGACCCTCAGTAAGGGATTCTCCTGAAATAGGTTTGTCTTCACATAAGAATCGATCGGGATTGAAGCGATGCGGCTCAGGATATTCCTCCTCACTTCGATGCTATTATATGGGTCAGCGTGAAGCATCTTTTCGAAGGTGACATGGTGCCCCATACCATTGACCAGATACATGGTATGACCATAGTCTTCCTATTAATCTAGTCAGTTCTGTCAGCACATGTGCCTTGTTGCAGATCGATTGGTAAAATAATGACCTTATAACCCTTATAAAAATCATCATTGTCCGAGTAGTGCGGGAATCCGCCCGGCGCAGCTGGTGACCACCTGAAAACTTCCTTGACAAGTGCGTAGCAGTAAGGAAGCTGTTGCATGTCAGAGAAGCTTGGTGGGATCTTTCCATCAGTGCCAAGTATTGAATCTAGTTCGGCTTGTGCAGCTTTCATGGTGTCTGGATATAACACCATTGCCATCAAGAACCACTGAACGGTACCCGCTGTAGTATCCGTTCCCGCTTCGAACGCAGATCCCGCCACTACGGAGTAAATTAATGGCGGTGATTGGGTATAAATTTGCATGTAAGGCGTCACCATATGCAATATCTTCAAGGTCAAAACTCATCTCTTTTTGCTGATCCCATAGCCTTGCAGCAAAGCATTCCAGATTGTCGCCGCTGTCGAACATCTTCTTTCGAACTTCCAACACGAGGCGTTGGTATAACTGCCAACAAATGTTCTCGTCGAACGATCTCAGAAAATGGATGACGTACTTCCATCTCCTTCTCGTGCTTCATGCGCGCCTCAACACGCCACCAAGCAAGCCAATCTGGAAAGCGGTCCAGAACTGGGAACGTATCGACTAGGTGCGCGCCGGGATATGTATCTCGCACGAAGTTGTCAAGAACGAACAGTACGCCGTTTAGATCGTTACTATCATCTTCAAGTCGCTTTCCGTAACTCAAGTAAAATACCATGGCGGCAGCAAATCGCTTGCAGTGTCGCTCCGAGATGCAAGGCTCGTTGAGAAAATCATACAAGAGTTTCATTGATTCCATCTCTTGCATTGCTTCATATGCGCCGACCACTGGTTCAAAATTCAATACGAAAGCAAACCACGAGTAGATGATACGGAAAGTACGTGCCTCGAGATTTGAGCATCTGATGAAATGCTGCTCTTTGCTTCTTCAGCTGGTCTCCATAGGGTAGCAGCACTAGCCGCTTATTGTTTGACTGATGCTTCCCTGCGTAAATTAGAGGTCTCCGCGAGGAATAGTTGTGTGAACGCCGGCCGAGCTACAGTTAATGGGAATCATTCGCCCGTTTAAGGGTTAGTTGCTCTTATTTTCAGTAGGTATTGACGAACCCACCAATTCTTCGGCGTCTCTACCACTCGCAAGGATGACGATCTCATCACCCGCGAGCGATAATTTCACTATAGGACCTATTCTTTCATATAAGTCGAGAATCGCATTCCAACTCACGCAACACAGACCATGCTTCTGGAATAGCCGGTGGAAATACCTCCACGTATGAATTCTTGGTACTTGGAACGTGTGACCGACCAGAGGATGAGACTTGGGACCAGGGGGATACAAGGACGCCACAGGCTGAAATGGACGCAAAATGTAGACAACAAGTGTAAGTAGAAACAAGCACGCAGCGTGGCTCATAGAAACATGAGGTAGAATTAGCGCATCCATGTTATGACTTTAGAGATCGAGCTGGTGCCGCGCTGGACAATTTCTACGAAGACTTTAAAGGAGTCAGGGATGAATCTCGGCTCTTATCGCGGAAGTAGTGTCTAATCTTTTGGGAGAGAATGACGCGGTGCAATTCGAAAGGAACCGGAGTATGGCTTAGCAGATTTATTCATTTCTTTTCACTGCCATGTGTGGTATTCAATGATAAGATCATTCATTTATGACAGATTTCATTCGTTGACTGAACCATCAATGATAGCAGAATTCAGGTACCTTATTCTAGATCCCTTCCTGCGGAGCGGAACACACAATTTATCTCCAGCTTGCACGAGTTTGATGCCAACAAGCAAATGCTGACGCTTGGCGATGAAGCCTTCCTTCATATTACACACTTGTTCATCTCAATCTCCAGACTATTTATAAAACAAACTGCTGAGCGTAGTCGAGAAGCATTCCTCCGCATATGAAATATCCTAGCGTTCCATTGGCCTGTTGACAGTGAGATGAGACTCAACAGTTAGATTGCAGCCGAATCATGACAATATGGGACGCACTGTGAACATCTTCCAGCAATCTGCAGAAAGGTCAAAGTCGATAGTTATCAGCTGCCAAGCCAAATGTGCAGCAGTGCCGAAGACCGTCACGGCGTAGTAGAAAAACCCCTGGTTATTCAACACTCCAACGTATGCCAGACACGCAACAAAAGTGCCGGCAAACATGGATAAAATCGAGCGCACGTGGCTCCCGAATAAGACGGCTGTTGAACGGACTCCCGCTTTGACGTCGTCTCTACGATCCTGGCAGCCATATATTGTATCGTAGTGGATTGTCCAGCTGAGCGACGACGCGATGTGTAGTGAAGTCGCGTGAGTTTGAAGTAAGCCAACTCACCAAGTGCTTCCCAACGCAAGAAAAGCAACTACTGTCCAGTTGAGGGAAGGCGCTATAGAGAGCCAAGCGATAGGTATACCAGCTGATATCGTCAAACCTATGAAACTGATAATCAGTATCACAAGAATATATTTCTCTGGGAAGGACCGTACCAAGAAATGCTTGAGGCCAGTAAGTCCAACGCTTCATTAACGGGTAAGGAAGATCAAGAAGAAACAAGGTATAGATGCCAAGTTGAAACCTAGTTGCTTTTTCCGTCACCATCCAGACACACACAAAAGTTATACGTACGGTGTCCTGCCAGCGTATGCGAGTAATAATAGGCACACAGCACAGTGTACGGTCAGAAATATCATTGCACCCAGGACGCTCACTGCTCCAGAAGCTATGGGACGATTGCGTGTACGCTCTTGACGGGGAGCCGAAATAAATCAGATATCGTAGCAATTTGATAGCGGCCGCGCGTACCAACTTGGCGATCAAAGTCGCGATCGCATACATCGTTCCAGATACAATCTGCATTGTGGCGAAGGACGGAACCTACGAGAAAGGCTAAAAGCTGTATGCCCAGGCGAGGAGGTGGGACTCCTTGAGCGTACGCAGCCAACGTCAACGCCCATGCTAAAATGCGTTATATTAGATGGGGAACGAGAATGCCACTGAATGCAATGAACATACCACAAGGCCAGAAAAAAACATCCGCTCCAGCAGGGAAAAGGTGAATCCTTGTCAGCCGGTAATATGATACCCACAGTGGGGTGGTATCCATCTGACTCGCAGTGGGTATTTGTGAAGAATTGAAGAGTTGTGAGGGCGATAAAAAATATCAAGGTGAGGCAGCCCTTCAGCAATAAACTAGTGTCCTTATATACTATCTCTCCACAACATGGACACCTTCTCAATACATGAAGGCGTTGAATTTGGATTGGAGTCCCGACGTGCCGAATTCAAGTCACAAGTAGCATTTGCGGCTGGTTGGTTAAATAATTGACATGAATGAATTTTCTGAAGGCGAATGCTCACAAGATTGTGCATACACAATTCGCAAGACAGCAGTTTGCACATCAGAAAGAACCATATGATTCAAATGTTCATGATTCTCAGAACAGAACAGAATTCCGCTAGACGATATGATGGGCATCTAGGGGTCATGATATGACAGATTCAGCGCGTTTTGTTATCTCCTGCTTGGACTGCCAGTAACATTCACAGAAGGGATTATGCAACTCACTAAAACGTAAATCACGACGCGCACATCCTGCAGTGCGTCTTCGTCGTTATCATTCCCTAGAACCAGTGGAGATTGCCTTATTGCGAAGAGTCGGACAGGCCGCGCCGTCGTATCGCCTACTGCATCCTCCGACACATGTGGGCGTCAAAGAAGCTATGAGCTTCGTGTTCGATTCTTAGGGCCACTTTGTCGGCTCATAGCATCAGGTTCGATCAGGTGATGATGATGATGTGTTCGTAAGAGCCGGTTAGAGCAACTTGATGTCGTTGCCATGTTGAGCAAATTTGAACCGCTGTCGGAACGATACATCCAATCAGGAAGTCCTATCATCGGGCGTTTCCGTCCAGGACCGAGGCCGAGGCTCAAGCGCTGAGCGCTGAGTGTTCGCGACTGCTCCGTCCTACTGAGATACTACTCACATCCTCTCGTATGGATTGCGCTTTTGCAAAACTTGACCCTCCCCAGCGGCATCGTCTGTCGACCACACCTTTAGGTGTATGTCGATGCTCTGCCCCTTTGAACTTACTAGGACCGTGACACCCCAAGCGGAATCTGTTCTGAACCTTCCCGAAGCTTTAATCGTCAACTTATTCTTGATCCTGATTTCACATCAGTATAAAGTTACTGTAAGCCGCATTTCCCATGACTACATTCCTCCGACTTGCTACATCGATGCTCATTGACTTGATATCGATTACCAGCTTGAATCTGGTCTCTCTAGTGTTTGTGGTCACTATCTCCTTGTATTCATCATTCAAGCTTTGCAGGGCCTTCATTCCGCGTCTGCAGCTGCCCCCCGGTCCCCCATCAATACCCTTGATTGGGAACATCCAGAATATACCTACTTCGCATGCTTGGGTAACGTACGCAAAGTGGGCGGCAACCTACGGTTCGTCATCTCCTTGAAATTTTCCTTCGAACTTGATATAAAACATCATACAGGCGATGTAATCCATGTACACGTATTCGGTAAATCTCTGGTTGTGTTGAACTCCTTAGAAACCGCAAAGGATATTCTTGAGAAACATAGTTCTGTTACTTCGGATAGGCCACATTTCGTTATGATTTCCGATTTGTGAGTATTCGATATTATCGTCGTCATGAACATAGAAACTCAATTGTATTGTCATTGTGTAATATACTTGAGTAGAATGGGGTGGGATTGGGCAGTTCAATTCATGAGTGTAGGGCCACAGTTCCGACTTTATCGCAAGACTCTTCATCATCTGTTGCATCAGTCTGCATGCAACAGCTACTGGCCTACAATTCGAAAGGGTACGCGATCACTTCTCAAAAATCTGTTGCACCATTCCGAAGCTGTGGAGCATCACCTTCAACAGTGGGATTCTCTCGACTATCTTTCCAGTGGTGGCTAAATATTCGTTGTGATAGCCATTCTGGTGGTATAATGATGTCGATCATTTATGGCACCGAAGAAGGGCCGTTGCGAGACAGCTATCTTGCGATGGCAGAGGATGCTGTTGGTGGTTTGGTTGAAGCAGGAAACATAGGTAAATTCCTGGTTGACTTCGTACCGACATGTAAGTAGTGTCTTAGAATCTTGAACGGCTCGGACTGAAGTGGCGTGAAGTAAAACATGTCCCGGACTGGTTCCCGGGGGCATCCTTCAAGCGTAAAGCAGGGATGTGGCGTAAAATGGCGAGGGATATGATCGAAATCCCTTATAGGAATGTCTCTTCTCTCTATGTAAGTGCAATTTCTATGGGAAATTAGAGGTTTTACCAAGTGTTATAGGATCTCGGTATGGCCTCCCCCTCCGTCACTACAGCTCTTCTAGACCGACAGAAGGAAACGAGTCGACAAGTGTACGACCCCGAACTAATCAAAGGGATCGCGGGTGTACTCTACGTTGGTATGTAGACCGCTAATGCTGTAACCTAGTGAATTAATCAATGACAATGCCACAAGGTGGTGCAGATACCGTGGGTCCCATATGCCTGCTATTTATTTGCGCATCCGAACTGACTGGCCCGACTACAGTCTTTATCAGCCTTGGATACATTCATTTTAGCGTAAGCCATCATTTTTGATACCGATGTTCGTTCGCCGATGCCGCTCTCCAGGATGCTCCTCCATCCGGATAAGCAGAAATGTGCGCAAATGGAGATCGACTGTGCCGTTGGACAAGGCAGACTTCCCGAGTTCTCTGATAGACCTTCTCTTCCATACATGGACTGTGTTCTGTCCGAAGTACTGAGGTGGAATTCAGGAGTACCATTAGGGGTACGCACTCGTATAGTTCTCAGGTCACCTCTAGCCTTCTCATGTTGTCTCGTCTTAAGGTTCCCCATCGGTGTACGCAGGATATAGAATACCGTGGATTTCGCATTCCAGCGGGCGCAACAATCTTGGTCAATCAATGGTACCGCACCATCGCTTTATGCTTGGCTTTAATCATTGACAAGTGTATAGGGCAATACTACGTAGCGAACAGCATTACTCAGACCCGGTTACATTCACTCCAGAACGCTTTCTCCCTCGTCCGGATGGGACACGCGCACTCGATCCAAGAGAAGCCTCGTTTGGATTTGGTCGTCGGTATGCACATAACTGTGACTGGGGTTCGTCTGTTACCAACTCAATAACTCGTCAGAATTTGTCCGGGGAGATACTTTGCAGACGATCTCTTATGGATGCTAATGGTGAACATTCTTGCTGCTTTCGACATCTGTAAGTTTACGGATGTGGATGGTAACACTATTGAGCCATCCGGAACATATATCAATGGGCTTGTGACGTGCGTGGTCTATTTCTGCATGGTCACGACCGACAACTTACGAAGACACTAGTCGGCCAGAGCCGTTCAAGTGCAAGTTAATACCCAGACTCCCCAACTTGGAACACCTCGTGGAATCAGAGGTGTAGGTTGTATTGATTCTGCGCTGTGTCGTGTGAATAACCGAGCAGAAGTCAAGGTGCTTTGTGACTGTACAGGATGTGCCTGTTATTTTGGCCACTGCGAAATATAACTCATGCCAGTTACAAGTCCGTATGCATCATTGTTGATTTGATAATCACCCTTTCTATGCGACGCTATCGAGACACCGTGGCTTTCCGCTGACAATGTATTTTGGAGCCTTGCTGCCGATGCCAAATCTTTGATCTTGCCCCCAGATGTGGTGCAATTCAATAGGGACACTCCCATCCCCTTTGACGTGTCTCCGAAGTCGGATCTGAGGGTGAGACCCCGAATATTTCAGTGCGGCGGACCACGCCTAAGGCTGAAGATTGAACTTTATGATGACGCCGTGTCTGATCAGATACCTGGTGGCACTTGGATCAGATACTAGGCTGGAAGACAGCGCCACGACGCGGTCTGTCAGTGACTCATGCTGCTTTCTGATTGACCTAGCCTACATGATGGATCTAGCGCACTTGATCTTATCATACTTACTCTTCGCACAGTCAGACAAAGTTCAGCTGGAGCCAAATCCGGATCTGTCCTGGTGTAACCCAGCCGATGATGGCTCAATGTACCTATGCACCATATAATCTCAAGCGAGTACTATAACACTAATTCCTTCCAATCCATCTATTGCCCTCAAACGTCCCAATGTCGCCTATATTAGCATTGCGCGCGCTGCTGGAAGTTATCTCAAACTCTGTTGACGCGATTGAGAATAGATGCCGGTCTCGCGGTCTCGCTTTCCCTTCTCTCGACGACCCTCTGGTTGTGGATGGCGAGAGCGTGCAGGATGACGCTGCAGTCCAACAAGCTGCGACACTTATCACTTCAGCGGCATACCAGCTCATTGCCACAGTACAACAACCTCGAAAAACGATTTTTGCGGCAGCATGCAATGTAAGTATGTCGAATAGTTATATCCATAATTTACGCTGACATTGATATGATAGTATTACCTACCAGTATCCCTGAGAGTCGCAACGGAGACAAATGTGGTCGAGATTCTGCGCGACGCCGGACCAGAGGTGATGACACTCGACCATATTCTTAGAGAATATACTCAGCAGTAATTTTCGTGTAGGGACTACATGTAGACGAAATAGCCCAACAAAATGGTTTGGACCCTCCCAAATTAAGTACGAGAACATCACAATTTGGGATATGAATCATTCACTCGTTCGATCTCAGGCCGAATTCTAAGACGTCTCGCCACGAATCACATCTTTCGAGAAGTAAGACCTGATGTGTTTGCTAACAACAGACTATCTTCAGTCTGCGACACTGGAAAGTCAGTCGAGGAGCTCCGCGCAAGGTGTGTCAATCCGGTACTCCTATTACATTACTTGTTCAGTTGTTCGATCAATTCATACAGACCACTCGAAAAGCATGAAGGTACCAACGGAATTCCAGCTTTGATTGGCCATTGGTAAGGGTCTGGAATCAATCGAATTTGTGGTAGAATGATGACACCTCCATAGCACGGATGAGGATTACAAGGGTGCTGGCTACATCCTGGAGCATCTCACAGACCCGGAGACTGCCTTTGAGGAAGGTCCAAAACGAACGGCGATGATGCGCGCGTTCAACTGGACTACAGACGTCTGGACATGGTTTGAACAACCTTTCAATAAGGCGCGGTTTATGCGTTTCGGTGAGGCTATGAATGGAGTGAGCAACATGCAATCGATTGACTCTATCTTCAGAGGTAAGCCCTATGTTACTATCACGCATTCGCTCATACCACTGGACTTAGGTTTCTCGTGGGAGTCACTACAGAGTGAGAGTGTTGTGGTAGATGTTGGTGGTGGAATCGGAACATCATCTTTAGCGTTAGCTGAGCGGTATCCAGAGCTACGGCTAATTGTTCAAGATCGGCTCCCAGTAATCGAACAGGGCATTAAGGTGATTCCCATGCCTCAAACTATCTTCGTAGGTTAATTTTCTTCAAGCATTGTCAGAATTTGCGTTCAAATTGGTTGCGAGACAACGTTGTGCAATACGCCGGTATGCCCTCATCTTCATATCAATGCATCCGAAGTGTTAAATGACATACAGCACACGATTTCTTTGAGGAGCAGTCCCAAAAGAATGCCGCTGTGTTCCTGCTCAAGCAGATTCTGCATGACTGGTCCGATTCTTATGCGATCAGGATCCTTCGCAGATTAGCAGATGCAGCAAATACGGGAACGAAGCTCGTTCTAATCGAGAACATCGTTCCTTACGCATGTAGGGGCGATGTCGTTCATATTCCTGGCGCTGAAAACCAAGATGCGCCCACGCCGTTGCTGCCAAATCTAGGACAAGCAAATGCTCTAGTCTATGATTATGACCTCTCGATGTATGTCCACTTCAATGCGACTGAGAGGACACTTGGACAGCTGGTCTCTCTACTTGAGAAAGGAGGCTGGAAAGCTGTTCGCGTACATTCTACAGACCATTGGGGCGGATTTCTGCAACAGATTATCTCAATACCTATGATATCATAAAACTGTACCAAACCCATGTAGAAAGATCGGTTCAATTGTCTATCCTTCCGATAATTCGAATAATTATTCCGGCTTTCATACCATAATACTCGCACTGCTGGGGCCGGAGTGCTTGCATAGTGTGTTACGACACTTTGACAATTGGAGAACCCTCATGAATAGGACTATTCGGGGCCCGGCTGATGATAGTACATTCCACCTAGCTATCATGAGCTGCACGCGCTTTATAATGTACCCACTGTTTATAAATCTTGTCTGGGCTCCTGCTCCTTCACTCACAAAACCTCAATAAATCATAAAACCTCATTCAGCCAATTCTCAGTCAAGATCAGCACATCGCACAAGAACCAGCCCATAAATAATTGCGTACTTTTGTGAGCACTTTCTTGAAGCTATATCAAGTGTTGCGAGGCAGTCCGGGGAAGGACAAGCCGAGAGCATGTGACGTGTGGCTGAACGTCAGCCACACACCGTTACGCTTATTTTCATACGAAGTTAATCCTTTCGTATATATTCTAGACATATAGCGTCTAGAATAAATGACACACATTCTCGCTCCTTGCTCTCAACCATCACCCGTCTCAACATCAAGTACTCCATATTCTCGGAGAGGATTTTATGAGGTAAATCATCATCTATGCTCTCCACAATATTTGGCGTTGCATCATTGGTCAGGATGGATGGTAACCAAATTCGGACGCCACACACGGCATCTCTCGGCGCATGGTGGTGGCGTCGCCTCAGTCGAGTCACGAGTTGAGTTTGAGTGTTGATGCCGATGTGACATACTGTGACCCGAGATATAAACCCCACTGGAAAGTGACATTAATTAAATCGAGAAACTGGGTCACTCAACAAATTGCCTTGAAAACGCGTGAAGAAAGCTGAATTAGGTAATTCATGCCAATTCGGCTTATCTCATTTTTTCTCATTCAGTGATACAGTTTCTCATTTTAATTCATGTCGATTCTCACTGGGTATAAACGCTTGAACTTTTCGTACTTGTCTTACCGGAAGACATCCACAGGAGGATGTAAAACGTGTAATGTATATATAGGAGATGTAGATTCACCTTTCCATGTAATTTGTATGTATTCTCATGGAGTACTAATTTTATAACAGGCCGAATACCGAAAACCGTTATGAAGCGCCGCGTCACGGTGCAGCTCACAGCATTGCTCCAATGCTCCCCACCCGCTCTCAGTTGAGGGTCACTCGCGACGCCATAATTGACAGCTTGAGAATTACGGCAGGGTAACCATGTCGTAAAGGCCTTCCTGCGCCGCCGCTCGCGGCTCGAGTCCATCCATCTTGCAAGATGATATCGTGGACTTGACTGGGACTAGGTGCGAACACCTCGATTCAATTTATCAATCTGGTCGCTTCTATTTAGTTCGCAGACAAAGAACCATCCCGAGGACATCCGCATGCAGTCACCGCCGCAGCCTGTCAGATCAGTGTTTGTGCCAGGATGGTGCTGTTATCGCATATGGCGCCTCAGCTTCACGCCTTCAATCTCAAGTAGCATATATACATGTGAAGGAGAGTTCACGGAACATTTGCGATAGCTCTAGAAATCACTTGAGTGCCTTCACCAAGTCAGTCCGCCTCCAAGATGCCTGCCATCGATGTCTTACCATCTCCTGAAGAGCTTACACCTGCCTTCACCTCACAATCTATTCCACCTATTGGAGAGTACTTAGGTGGTTTTACATTGTCCATAGATATTGCTATCATGTACGCTTCTGCTCCCGCTCCCTCACTTTTCCTGGCTTGCTCATGACACCTGCATCTCAAGCCTATACGGGATTGTTACCGCACAGGCATACTTCTATTGGTGGACATCACAAGAGGACTCGAGGTTACTTCGCTCTTTGGTCGCATCCGTATGGTAAGATCCCCGGCTTCGGCCTCCACGAAGCACGAAGTATATACCCTCACTACACTATATTCTGTCAAAGGTGTTTGGAGACTGCGCACACAGTATTCTGCATACATCTGAGTTACAGCTACACGATCATCAACTTTGGGAATGTCGAAGGCATTCTCCAGATCACTTGGTATGTCCTGTTTCTGTCTTTTGGTGCCCCATGTTCATGCCCGATGTTCGCTCCAGGACCGCCGGGGTAAGCGAAAACATTTTGCAATTTGTATGATCTCGAAATAGTAAGATACATTCTGCATGCAGGCTACATTGTTCTCGGAGGTAGGTTTACTGTGATCGGATCGATTCTGTTGCATACTTGATAACTATCTTGGAGCGCAGCAATTTATGGTAGGCTTGATTCAGGGGTGCGATTTCTACATGTTTCATGGCAATGTATTATAATCATCTGCTTAGATTTTTCATTTGGCGAACCTGGATATGTGCGTCATCACACACACTCATACATATTGACTATATCAATCTGTGTTTGCAGTGAGTAGAAAATCTATTGCACTGGTCTCCATACTGGTGAGTGCTCCTCTCGAAATTGGGAATATTTGAGCCTGAGTATCGAAAAGGCGATCATGCTATTCATTCGTATTGGTATATGCTATTATTGCTACCTTGGCCCCAAATTTACCCAATCTTGTTCCAGGGTCCGGGTGGGGTAGGAATATAACCATAGCATCCACCATATGCCGTGTCCTGATTGCTATTCTCACCTCCATTATAGCAGCGACTAGCTTCATGTATGTCACTTACCAATCCTGTTTTATTTCAATTTTTGGCTCAATTATCATCAGGTGGAAATATAGTACTTGGGCCGAGTACAAAGCATCCCATGCAGTTCTGGTGTGCTTTCCAGCTGAATAGTGACATGGTACAGCATGCTGAGATTGTCTCGCCCTCACGATAGATTGCGTCCACAATCACCCTCGGTCTATCAGGAAGTCTGGACGTACTCATCGCTCTCAGCCAAATGTATTACCTCTGGAGTAACCGTACAGGTCACCCAGCGTGAGCATTTACTGCGCACTGTCAAGTTGGTGTCTGAATGACTTGCTTAGGACAAATAAGTTGATTCATACATTAATGGCCTACATTGTTCACACCGGTGCATTGACGATGTAAGTCGAGTCCGAGTCTGCCTGTTTACAATAAGTCGACTTACATCCGCTAAAGGTGTGTTTCGGTGGCGATTTTGGCGTTGGTACGAGCAACCGTTGAACTTGTATTCTATGTTTAAACACATTGTATCCAGTTTTCGGCACCAGGCTTGAAGCCCAGTGTGCTCTTTGTCGGCCTGGGAGAGGTCCAGAGCAAATGTATGTGTTCTTCCGATCTAGCAATTTCATTCGCTGATATGCTACAAAAGTATATGCGAATTCGCTGATCGCTATGTGCGGCATTTTTCCTGTGGCCTCAGACTGTTTAGACTGCCATGCTAAGCCTTCTTCTAGGCTAAACGCACGACAGCGCTACAAATCTCAATTACAGTATTCTTCTACCACTGTCGATATCGAGTTACATATGAGTCACGGATCGCCCAGACAGGTGCACATGATCTTTACCAATTACTGATAGGCAACTCGATGCTGACGCTGACGTCGAATTAGCAAAACATCGAAATATTCCGTGAGGTAACAGAGATTACCAATCATTGTATGAACAAGAACGGCAGGACCAGAAAGGATGAGCACGATGGGCTGAGTTCTGCTCAATGTTGACGCGGCTTGTATATAATTTTTTGTAATTGAAGATCATAACCATTTCAATTCGCACTGGGATCAGATATTTATTTAGTGCTGACATGGTATGCGCGTGGGGCCTGTCGCGAATTATAAAGACTTCTATTTGTTTGCACTCGGAAGAAATGGTACCGTCTTCAGCATGATGTGATGATTTACACAGACGATCGCTTCAAGTACATTACAACCAGGTTTGCTGCCAGTACACGGATTCGGCACAGTGAACGTCGATATCGTAAATGATGCTAACCAAGGAGTCTGAAGTGCACAACGGTACGGAACTACAAAGATTACATAGATTGTACGCAGGACTGCCATTATGATATCAAGAAACACTAGCACTATAAGAGGACTGTCAGGCTAGATATGATAGTGCCAATTGTATGATTGTCCCATACAGACTCAACCGAACGCTACTTCAGCGGAAGCAAAAGGCAAAAACTGGCCTGAGTCTCGGTATGTGATCGGTGCCTGTAGCCTAGGATGGCTGCAGGCCCAGGGAGACGATGAAACAACGTCGTGTCTCATGTGACCGGGACAACTGCCAGTGCGTTCTATGATTAGCATTGGATGTCTCACAACTGGAGATCAGCACACACTACCACCTTCAATGAATATAGACTAATACCTGTGGCTCTGCCACTTTGGGGGGATGGGACATATTTCAAAGTTTTTATAAGCCTGCCCTAAACTTACAAGATGTTCAAAATGTGAAAAAAAAGGAAAAGATAAGAGTAGGAATTAGAATAAAATGAAATGTAGAGTACTTTTAAATCTAAATAAACAACAGATAACTGTCACAGAATTTCATGGCGTCTATCTTATCTCCAGCGTCTAGATGATCTACATCTTATCCGATTAGATATCTAAAGAGATAAGGATAGCGTAATGCATAGTGACATGTTACTAGTCAGGTGTCTAGCCTTGTCCAAAGCAGTGTCAAATGGCTAATCGTATATTCACACGAGATTTCCCCATTTGTCCTAGAGACACACATGGTCATTCAGGTGATTATCACATATCAGACTGCTGACCGAACACATGGACAGGACGATGGTTCACGTGCTGGGTATTCTTAGACAACCAATGGCGTATTACAAGCATCAGTCATCCTAGGTGTTAGGTTTACTACCAGTAGTATTAGGGGTCTGGTCCCTCATGTATAAATACCAGAGCAATCCAGCGTAGAGGGACATCTTGGTTATACAACTAAGACCCGCCTACTTCATCCTACTCTCTCTCTAAGTTAGCCACTCTCAAGACAAGCACTTTGCTTACCTCTTGCAACTACCATTACCACTACAAGTGAGTTCTGGGGTTAGAGTTAGGGTTAGGGTCAAGGGCACATACCTTGACATTATAACCAAGATATCCTGTTTGATAGTTGTCATTACTGTCATCCTTCTTTTTGGTCGTCTCGATTGTTTTACAGATAAACTCACTGTTACAGCTTGGAGGGGGGGTTTCTTTTCTTTCCTAACTATTCGTC